ATTGCGGCATGCATATTCTCCTATCCACTACCCCTTTACCGCCTGGGCATACCCCTTCCACGTCCCCTCATGCCCAGCGCTCTTTGGGCTGCACCTGGTGGTAGTGGTCTGTTGGGGGCCTGCGCTTGCTGCGACTCTTGGTTCTCTAAACATGTTGTTAGCAAAATGAACTCGAATAAAATGGTGTAGCAGTAAAGTCGTACTTATCGTCTCGTCAACGCTCAAGATCAGACAAGCCGCCTCAGTTGCCGCCTGCAGAGCGTTGACCTTCACCAGGCTAGGTTCCCAAACGAATTTCTCCATATTGTTGGCGATGCTCTCAGTGGTGAAATCTACACCAGCCCAGATGTTTCCTTTCTTGTGCTCGACGCGTAGTCGGTTCAGAATGTCGGTGGCATCCACACCGGCGTTGTCGCAAAGTTGCCTTGGGATGACCTCCAATGCTTTTGCGAATGCCTTGATGATGGGCTGTTGTTTGTGTGGGACGTTCTTGTCCGCAAAGTTGTGTAGGTATGATGAGATTTCCATCTCGATGGCGCCACCGCCAGCAACGATGTTCCTGTTCTTAATCGCACGCTTCACGATCATAATGGCATCGTGCAAGCTGCGCTCTACCTCAGCGATGAACTGCTCTGCGCCGCCGCGGAGAACCAAGGTGCATGTCTTGGCTTCTGGGCAACCCTCAAAGAAGTTGAATCGTTCGCCGCCGATTTGTCGCTCGTCGAAACTGTCACAGGTTCCGAGATGTTTGGCCTGGATATCGGAGCAGGTAGACTGCAGGCTCGCGCCTGTTGCTCGGCATACACGGTCGAGGTCGTCTGCTGATACTCGTCCAGCACAGAAAATGTCTCGATCGGCGAAATATTGCGTAGCCAGATCGCCAATCGGAAGCTTGCTCAGCACAACCTTAGCGCCCGTCTTGTAAAGTGCCTCCATCTTGTTGTAGATGATCTGCCATTCCGCATCGACGATCGCTTGATATTCCGAAACTTGTTCTACGCGCACCTCGGCGTTATCCTTCTCGCTCTTCAGCTCGAGTTCGACGTTCAAGCACACAATCTTCGGGTTCTTGAACGACTTTGGTTGTTGCTCGAATCCGGCATATGCGAATGTCTTCTTGAATGCAACACCGTCGACAAATAGAGAGTCCTGAAGTGCTCCACCGGTGATCTTCTTGATTCCAATGAGCCTCTCGTTGAGCTCGTCCTGGTCCAGGCTAAGCACGGCATCCACTACCATCTTTGTGAAGAAATCGGAATTCCGGTGGATCAGTTTACTGCTCATGGCTGTCGCTGCGAGTTTCTGGAGAGTATCCCGCTGGTTTCCCTCGGCTGTGTCCACCGCGATGTCCATGATTTTGTTGACCGCCAGATTCGAGGCTCTTCGCAGTCCCTTCATTATGGTCTGGCTGCTGACTCCTTGTTCGACGAAATCCTTGATCTCCTTCAAGATCTCCCCTGCGATGACAACAACGGAGGTAGTGCCATCGCCAACTTCGGCATCTTGCGACCGGGCGATATCTGTCAGGATGCGGGCGGCGGGGTGCACGATGTCGAGAAGCTGGAGATGTCAGATGTCAGAATTCCAGCCAGAACTCGAGGGGGTGTTTACCTTCATTACTGTGGCGCCATCGTTTGTGATTGTCTGTCGTCCATTTGCATCCACCATGAGCAAATCACCGCCATAGGGGCCTAGCGTTCCCTTGATGGTTGCTTGTACCGCGAGACAGGCGTTTATATTGGATAGTACTTGTCCTCGACCCTGTGACTGATCCGTGCCTGCTACATTTAGTTTTCTAGATTTCCGCAACAAGCTTCAGGGCACCTACCTTCTCGCAGGACGACAATCGTCGGTGTCTGGCCGCCGAACGACATGTTGGCAGGTCAGGTGGATGGCGAACTTAAAAGTAGGAGACAAGAAGGCTTCAGTTATACCCAAAGCTTGCAACGGTAGTCGGAGGGGGAGGGGTCAAGCTATGTGCAGCTGTTCGTCGTCCCCCGCAGACGCGTCCCATGAATTTTCCAGGCACGTCCCGCGCCAAGCCTTGCCCTCGGCGCGACATTTCTCCGGCGGCGGTCGCGACCAACCTCGTGCCTTCTTTCCACCTTCTCCCGCCCTTCGGTGCATTGTGCTACAATCAAAGTCGCTGCTATCCGCCCAGGACCTCACAACACGTCCTCCGTATGCACTCGTTAGTGACCCATACCAATAAGCGACCATCGTATCTCCGGTGCTAGTATAGTGGCAGTCGCTCTTCGTCCGCGTGACCCCTCTGCGCGTTCAATCAGGGCGTTCCAAACACGACCTGAGCTTACCTCAGAGCTCCTCATCACCTCAGTGCAATCACATACAGTCGTTCTAGCCGCTACCTATCAAACTCAAAATGCCAGCCAAGACGTCTGCCAAGAAGGTCAGTCTCCGTGGCACTTGTCACACTGACTCTGAAACTTATCCAAGCGTAGACTACACCTACACCCATGATATCGGATGATATCTTCCTTCGGAGACTAGACCGTCACTCGAAGGAGTCGGTGGACAAGCAAATATCTATACCAGAGACCATCACAGCTCTGGACAACTATCCACCAATACTGCGCATTCCGTCTGAAATTCGAAGAGAGATCTTTAGATATGTTCTTCCATCGTCCGACAAGAGGTTCTTGCTATACACAGACTGCGATTCAACCGTCATTAGTAAGAAGTGGAACCGAAAATGTCGCCCACATCCTGACAAGAGTTTATCGCTCGACATCCTCCGGACGAACCGTCTGATCTACCACGAATGTCTTTCCGTCATGTATTCTGAAAACCTCTTCCACTTCTATGCCTTCAATTATTTGCCAGTTCTGGATTTCATACGGCATCTGAGTCCAGAGGCCAAAAGCCTCGTTCGGAAGGTCAGGCTAACACCCTTGACCGACAACCAGGACGATCCTCCTTCTTCACACGACGTTTTCTGTACCGTCATACATGATTCTCTTCCCGGCCTCAGCGAATTGCAGGCCGATCCCGTTGTTTTCTTCTAGTAATTCATTTGCAAGCAGGGCGTTTTTCTGGTGTTGCTGGGCAAAGACCATAGATCCATACATAACGAACATCGAAGACAGTAGTGCGAGAAGTGGAATTGCCTTTCTTTTCTTGTCTATACTTTGCAAATATCACTTCCCTGAGCGAGAGCAAGACCAGAACTCGCTGGTCTCAGAAACATACAGTGCTTCACCAATAGCCTATGACTCAGTTACACCACTGGCGACTGTGCATGTGGGTAAGATCACAAGGCTAGGTATCAATAAAAACCTGGAACGAAACAACCACTTGTCGACAAAACGGGTAATGAAACGTTTCCCCCGAGATATCATTCCCTCAATCATGATCATCGCAGCGTTCCATCGACACAATGTTTGACAGTTCACCTCGCTATCTGTTCCGCTGCCAAACTAGCCTCTTCCTTCGACCCCACATTGTCTCCTCTTTGTTTCTCGTCACCATAGCCCGCAACTAGACTCGTTTGAGGAGGTCTAGGATGCCTTGCCTTCTGCTCAAACTAACCACCTTGCACTGGATTAAACCCTGTGAACAGGACAGAGTTGCGAAAACCACATCGCGCAGAAGCCGACAAGCCAAGTGCATGAATAGTAGAAGACACGATATTACTTGGAAGGTGCATTGCAATGCTCACATACATGCGCTGAATCATACCTGGTATATGTACTTTTCTTTTTGCTAGTGTTCATCTCTGTCACTTTCATGTCTTTTACTCGCGTTTGAAGCAATCGTGTAAAACATGCTACCATCATAGATGCCTTGAATATGCTCTTTCATCGACCTTCCATCTTCTGGCCTGAAGATCAGATACGTAGCTACCCACTCAAAGACCGCTCCACCCCAACCTATCGGATTTGCAATGTACCGCCAGTTCTTGGACGTCTTAAAGAGTGAAATGGTCTCTGCTTGCGGCATACTCAGTGAAGATATCCTCGAAGCTTTGGGGCACAAAGTGGCCTTTATGGTCATGCGTGTTGCTGTTGGACATATGTTTGTCTCTATGAATCTACCGAAAATGATCGAGCTCTTCTCATACAAGTGATGATCCTGAGTGCATGAATATTGTTGCTGGTTCTCGAGTTGACACTTTACAAGACCGTCGAAGAGCTCTCGAAGCCGCGAATCAAGAGAATTGATTACAGAATCTCCAATTGTATCGCAAAAAATGGCTTGGGGCGCGCTATGAAACACAAATGAGCAAACGGCGACGACGACATGATATCTAAACGACTATGGCGTAGTTCTTAGTCACTCTCGGTCAATGTTCTATGTTCATATAGGATTGATATCTACCAAGACCTGCATTAAAGGTCCACGTTTAACTATTTGCGTGACTGGGAGCGACAAGGTTATCAGGCATTCTCTCGTAGAAACTGTGCAAATGTCGCTGTATCGCTTATAGTTGTCGTGGGGAAGAAGTACTGGACATCTGCAATGGACTTCTGGATGTGAATGGCAGCACCAAGTGGGCTGATATCGTAGAGAGGCGGAAGTCGTGGAATACCTGCACGGGTGAAGCACAGAGTCGGAAAGGGATAACACTGCAGTGAAGTGTATAAGATGGAGCAGTAATTGAGTATGTTAATCGTTGCAACCCTGAGTTTATTTGTTCAACATTTTGTGAGACATAGCTCGCCGCAATGGATCATGCTTGGATATCCAGGGCCGATGATCAATCTTTAGTCGAGTGATAATATGACTTAATGAGAGCGTTTTCCTTTCACTATTTGCGCAATTATAGCTCTCTAGTATACCACAGGGCAAAGGAAAAAAACTGGAAGCCTGGCCGTTGTAGATCAGAAGCAGGATACTGAGATGAAACAATTCACGATACAGTAAAGTGTGATCAGTTGTGTGCGGCCGCAGATTCCATTCCCGCGTGACTATTCCTAGGACCTTTAGGGGCGGACAAGAACAAAAAAAGTGGCAAAAAAATGCAAAAAAGAACAATGTTGCGACACAGGCAGGATTTGAACCTACGCGGCCGAAGCCATATGATATCGGAGAATTCGAGTCATACCCATTAACCACTCTGGCACTGTGCCTTGCAGATTGTTGAAATAATGGAAATTAGTTGGTTTATATAGTGTGCAAATTTGATCTTCTCAAGCAGAGCTGAGATCACAGGACAATCCACGGTATGACTCTGCTAGCTTCAGAACAATCTTCGCTTTGGTGGGGTTATGGGGTTACTAATTGCCTTCTATCCAATCAGACATGTCATCTAGCTCCACATCTGTGCACCCAGGCATTGGGGAAAAGTGGGGCGGGACCTAAACTAGCGTGCTTTGCCCGACAGCTCGATTGGCCTCCTGCAGGTCCGACATCGAAAGTATCTCCAGAATATCTCAACGGACAACCACTTACTCTGAGCGCTACCACACCCTCCTGGATCCGATCCTGGTTCTGTGGTGCTCGATGCTGGCTTGCACGTGCCACGCCATGTAGGTTGGCGCTCTCACAGGCTCAAGTTTCACGACAACCTCGCCGCCCGCCGCCATGGACTCGATAGCAGCATCCGCCAAACCAACCTCACTGGCGTCGCCAAAGGTGGTCAAGAATGCCAAAGGCAATATCGTACCGAGTAGCCAAATGGCGCACATCGCGTACGGCTGCGGTAAGGCTCTAAAACGCTGCTTGCCACTACCGAACCCCAGCTAATGCGCCGCGATTAGAGCACATGGGCGAAATGTTCGAAAATGCACGCAAGCAAACCGTCCAGCACTATCGGCTGATCCTCCAGAACATCCACGAGAAACCGAGCATAATTGCGCAAACGTACAACGAGCAGGACGGAAGGCACGTTGTCAGTCTGAGGCCGCTATTCCTGTGCTTGCAGTGTCCAAGTATCATGACTGAGCCGGACCGCGATTTACATTTTGAAACGAAGAATCATTGTTTCTGTGAGTCCAGGGCGGGAACCCATGTGGCAGAGCAGGGAGCTGACAATGCACAGCGGTAGAGTCACGAGAAGGCAATGTCTATTGTGGAAACTGCCAGGACTTCATATACGATCCAGCTCTGGAAGTCTGGAGATTGCAGAAAGGTAAGCATGTTCATGTCAAACTGTCGCCATAGTTGAGCTAATGCATCACCTAGGCAAGAAGCGCAAGTTCGAAGATACCACAACCACCGATGACCACAAGCTTGTCGTGAGCAATTCTACCTTCCTTCCCTGTCGAGCGATTGGTCTGCGGGGACTCTACAATATGGGCCAAACATGCTTCATGAGTGTCATACTGCAAACACTCGTACATAACCCCTTCATACGGAATTTCTACCTGTCCGAAGGTCACAAACAGACGGATTGTGAGAAGGAATCATGCGTGAGCTGTGCACTAGACGAAATGTTCGTGGAGTTCCACTCAGCAGAGAAGACGGAGGGTTTCGGTGCCGTGCAGATGCTCATGGGCAGTTGGCTTGCAGGAGAAGCACTGGCGGGATATCAACAACAGGACGCGCATGAGTACTTGCAGTTCATCCTCAACACCCTACACCTTGCGAACGGTGGAAACACGGACGATGACTCCGAGGAATGTAAATGTGTTGTCCATCAAACATTCTACGGGAAGCTTTCGAGTACAGTCACATGCGACAATTGTCGAAATGTTACTACAGCTTCCGACCCGTACATGGATCTCAGCCTGGACGTTCGGAACCAGACTAAGAAGCGGAAAGGAAACGTAAATACAGGCGATGAAACACCACTTGACCTACGGGATTGTCTCGAAAGATTCACTGCGAAGGAGAAGCTAGGGTCTGCAGAATATACGTGCAGGAACTGTGACAGCCCACAAAATGCTACGAAGCAGCTAAGTGTGAAACGACTACCACCAGTTCTCTCAATCCATCTAAAGGTATATTGTTCCCATTGCTCTTGTCGAATCTTTGCTGACGAAACCTAGCGCTTCGAGCATACCAAGTCGACATCATCAAAGATTGAAACCACCGTGCGCTTCCCCGTCAAGCTAGATATCCACCCCTACACCACAGCCCATAAGGCTGCAATCAAGGCAGCCAAAGCTTCTGGAACGCCCGTCTCGAACTACAACACAAATAGTCCAGCAAACAGCCTCGTGTACAAACTATCAAGTGTCATAGTGCACAAGGGCAAGATCGACTCAGGACATTACGTCAGCTATAGCCGGGAAGGAAACGACTGGTTCATGTTCGACGACAGCAAAGTCGTCCTCGTGAGTGAAGCCAAGGTGCTCGCTGCCGAGGCGTACTTGCTGTTCTATATGGTCAGCGGGCTGGAGGTATAGCGGCCCTGCTAACGGGGCCTGCTTTGCTTCCATGATATGACTACATTTCTTTCATCTGGGGATTTCGGCGTGTCCCGGTCTGGGCGCAGGTCTAATTATCTTGGGGAGTTCACTGGTAGTTATCACGCGAGCATCGATGCTGAGGGATTGCATCTTGGCGTTGGCCCTTTTTTCTTTTCGGGTGAGACGGGCATGTCCTGGGGGTGTTATTATTCGGATTTATAACTAGTGATTAGGCACGTCTCAGTGCTTCATCTTTCGTATGAGATATGTCCTTCGTACTTTATGTTCATGGGTCTGTCGATATATATTCCGTGACTTGAATACTCTCCATCGTGAATATCGTGTTGAAATGTTTTGCTTACTTGTCCTGATCGCTGCCCAATATTTCAACATGTTGCGCCCGATTCGACTTACACCCGATACCTACACGATGTAAGAACACTGCTCTTGGCACCTGGAATACGCGTACCAAAGCCTACGCGACTCTCACACAAAAGGCCTAATTAGTCAAAAACATGTCTGTAGACATTTCGCAGGCGGAGATTATCCTGAACCCCGCTTGCAAAGTGATGCAACTATGCATGCCCATAAAAGCGTTTCGTGAACGGCTTGCTGAAGAATACCGCCAAGGTACGGTCCACGTCCGAGTATGTGCGTGTAGTTTATGTTCTGGCGCTTGCTTGCTGGTGGGCCACCAGACTTGGAGAAACGTCACGGGATGTGCGCGACGCGGATACACGTTTCTCTTGGAAAGAACAGAACGACGAGGAGCACAGCGGCGAAGTGATCAGTGGAAAACACGGGATAGGTGAGAATACACTCGCTTCATTCCTAACATGAACACACACACACGTGTCCAAGAGAGACTAACCCCCCTAAAACGCCAGCCTGCTCCCATTCCTATTCCTCATCGACCCCAGCACAAACCTTTGGATATCACAATACACTGATCGAAGCAAAGCCCCCATCTCGACGTACGTAAAAAACATACTCAGACTCAGATCTTCTCCTCCAAGCGCCCCGTCATGCCCGTAATACGCGTCGTCTTCGCAGCCCGATGCTCCCTGGCGTGCATCTCGCGCTGGAGCCGTTCCTGGCTAGCCACCGTCTGCGACTGTGTGAGATGGTCGACCATCTGCACAACACCCTTCTTGGTATGCCCGTTGAAGACGACCTCCAGCTCGGCCTTGGTCGCGGCGGCGAGCTGGTCTTCCAGCGCCGAAAGGGCTTTCGAATGCAGGTCTGACAAGGCCTTGTTGAAGTCGTCTGCTTCTTCCTTTTTTGCTTTCTTGGCAGCCGCTTTGCGTTCCTCGGAGAAGGCTTCGTCGCCCTTGCGCTTTGCGGCCCTCATTGCCTCCTTCTTGGCCCGGGCAGCGAGGTAGCGTGCGGAATGTCCTAGAACTTGGCCGTCCTTGGTCAAGGGTTGTTCGACGTTGAGAGGCGGTGCGGTGAAGAATAGTATACGGCCTTTCTCATCTCGTTGGAACTGGTCGCGAATCTCAGGCGGGATGCTGTTATTCGCATGATCGTTGAGAACATAGGCTTCCACCGGCTGCGGGGCCTTGTATCCTGAAGGAGGTTGCTGGATGTAGGGCTGCTGGTAGCCTTGTGCCGGGCGAGGAGTCTGGTACGATTGCATCTGGGCAGCTGGCTGGGGGGTGAAGGGTACCTGAGGCGTTATTGCTTGGTAAGCTGGAACCTGGGGCATTTGCTGATGCATGAGTGGGGCGGGCGATTGTGAATGCGTGTGGTAGTGAGTGGCATGCGTCGGTGTATAGGCTGGCGCGACATGATGCTGCTGTGGTGTCGGTGCGGGCATGGGAGTGAGCGAAGGTGCTTGTGCAATCGAATAATTCCTTGACGAATCGTAATTCAGCGAAGAAGCTGTGGGAAGACTTGGAGTCGGCATGACGGGCACTGCTGGAGGTGTTGGTGGCGGTGGTGGGGTGGGCTCTGGAGGAGGGGAGTCCTAGAGTAAAGTTAGAAGCGGGCGAGTGAAACGTAACTGAGCAAACGTACCTTGGGGTCGCGAGGGCGGCGATGAACAGCTCCTATTTTAGGAGGAGCGTTCTCAACACCCCACTCTGGCTTTGGCAAATCATCGTCTTCTTTTTGCTCGTCTTTGAGCAAATAGGCGATTGGACTAGGCACCTTTTTCAGTTTTCTCGGCGCGTCAAAGAGATCCATAACGTAGTCCTTGTCTCGGACCTCGTCCGGCAAACAGCTTGCCCAAGTCTTGATCTTGTTCAACTTATGATTTTCTTCGTTGTAACGAGCTTCGCATACATAGATCTCCTTGTCAGTGGGAAAGTCACGGGGGCGGCCTTTGTTGTATCTGGTCACAAACATGACGAAACAGCGATCCACCACTTCGTCAATTCGGTGATCGCGGTACTGACCAGTCTTGACGACCTCATTCTCCAAGAAATGGCGATCGAAGCGATGGACAGTCTGCTCTGGACGATAGTACCAGCAGGCATTCACCCACTTCCCGCCTTCAGAGTCTTGCCAAGTGCGATAGATCTGGGCCACTATGGGTTTGGTGAGGTCGTTTGCGTTTTGGATGTGCACCCAGTCGCCAACCTTCCATAATTCTCCGTTGTGCAGAATACCGCTGGGCATGGGGATGCGACCCTCTTCCATCACATAGTCAGTATCAGGCTTCTCCTTCTCGGCCTTGGCGATCTTTCGCGACTCCTTTTGGAGATGTACCGCATCCTTGTATATTTGACTGTCCTCCTCGTTGTACTGTTTCGCATTCTCAAACATGAGCTCGA